ATTAATGATTGTCCAAAACTCCTTCAATTTCATAGCCCTTTGCTTCAATGCCATGCCCCAGTTCGAAATTCACTTCACTTTCCCATATTTCGGATATCAACATATTTTGGATCAGATTCGGATCAGGATATATCCTGATCCAAAAATCTGGATCGGATCATAAATAAGGTCATTTGGATTGGATATCCGGATTTGAATAGCCCTACGCCCTTGCCTTCTTTTTTAATTAGCTTATAAAAATAGAAATAAAACAATTTCAGTTTGACCAAGTCTTATCTCTGAGAATGAAAAAATATTTGACCCTAGAAGTTAGAAGAGTCAAGTCAACACAACAGTATGAACAGATCAGACAGAAAGGGATCTCCAGTTTGGCTGGTTGTCTCGTGATAAAGCCAACTCAAATTCAGACTTGGTGTCACGGTTTCTAAGCCCTTCCTTACATACTTGTTACCGACAACTTTTTATTAATTATTAAGATTAATAATTATTAAAAAACTTTAATTACTTGACTATATTCACCCACGGTAACATAGGATACTGATATTGAAGTCAATATTAACAACCAAAATTGCCCTTGATTTTAAGAGAACATTAGGAGCATTGTTCAACATCAATGGCTAAAACAATAAATAAAAGACTTTAATGTTCATAAAAAATAAAATGTCACTTGTCCGACGAAAACATCTCCCTAGCCCTAATGGCTTAAAAACAAAAGAAAAAATAAAAAAAGAAGCTGAAAGCTGTAGAAAAATCAACTTTGTTAGGCCAACCCTGGGGCTCTTATTGAGATTGAATTTCCCACCTTTTAACTCATGATCATGACGGGTCCTTATTTGAATGCATGAATTTAATAGTTCATATAAAATAATATTTTCACTCAAAACAAAATACTCATGCAATTAAAACACTCCTCCCTAATGATTAAAAACAAAAAAATTCGTAGAAAAATCATCATTGTAATAGAGATTGGAGAAACTGTTTAACACCTTCAATGTCATACTGATTTGAGAAATTATTATTTAAAAAAAAAAAAAAAGTTCGATTGATTTGGATTGATGTTCAAGAAATTAGGAAATAGTAAAATTTTGGTTCTTCTCTCAATATCTTATAATGGGGGTTGTTAAATTTTGTTATAGTATGGTCCGTTTGGTTCATTATTTTGATACTTTTTATAATAATATTTTGAAAAAAGTTAAATTGGGAGGGTATTACGATGAAGGATTTAAAAATTAACAAAAATACCCCTTATGTTTATTTATTTACTAAACACCCATATAATAAAATATTAAAAGTTAACAAAAACATCCCCAACCCACGCATTAAATACAGACATCCGGCCAATACCGTCGAAAGGTGGCCAGAGTCGCCCTATCAACGCATGACCGGCTGGATCTTGCCGGTCGTGCACCGATATGGCCTTTTCTGGCCAGATCTACGGCTAGATCTGGCCATTGACAGCCAGATCTGGCCGCATTTGGTCCTCAACGACGGCCAAAGATACAGCCGTCGTTGATGGTCAACGATGACCATATCTTGGCCATCGTTGACGACTGTAGATCTGGCCGAAAAAGGTTAGATCGGTGCACTATCGGCCAGATTCAGTCGGTAGTGTGCCATTATACTAGATTCTGACTAGCTTCCGGTAGTGGTTGTCGGAATCTGGTAAATGTGGGTTATTGGGGTGTTTTTGCAATTTCTAAAAAAATATTTGGGAGTGTTTAGTTAAATTTATAAATTTAAGGAGGTTTAGAATAAATTGAATAATATAGAATAATATTTTTGAAAATAAGTCAATTTTACTATTTAACTTTATTGGAAAAACCCATAATAGTATTCTGAAGAGTATAACAAACGAAGTCTTTGTCTTTTGATGCCCTAGAGCTCCTTACTGTTTCTCTTTTGTATAAAAGCCTTCATTCAAGAAATTTGTAATCCTAACCCTAAAAGATATTTTCATTTTTTTATTCTTATAGCTGAGGTGTCTGAATACAATTGTCAGATTAGACTAGGGCTAAGATAAAAGTTTTAGTCTTAGTAGTTTAGGGAAAATTTTATAATATAAATAGTTGAGAAAATATATAATTTCTTGTAGTCTATTGTCAATCAATAAGAATGTTATTTCTTAAATTTTAAATGTTACTTCTCTTCTATAGCTAATATCAAAAAATCTTCTTACGAATGGTATCAAAATCACACATGGGCGGATCTACATTGTGAGGAGTGGAGGCTGATGACTCCACTCAAATTATGACATCAAATATTGTCCCTACTTTGTGTTCATATATAATTTCTAAATCAAGTTCCAATATTTGTGGTATCAAATCCAGATTACCCATCAAATATTCTTTCAACTTTATTTTCATACTTTCTATGTCAAATACCAATATTTGAAGGAGAATATTACAGACAGTGGAGCGGTCAAATGTAGGTTTTTTCAACTCCCAAGATCTTTGTTATATGATTAAAAAAGAATATGAAGAACATAAAAATAAAAATCCGTAGAAAAATCAACATTGGTGCTGGGGGATATGATAAAAAAAGAATATGAAGAACTAGAAGAACATACAAATAAAAATCCGTAGAAAAATCAACATTGGTCCTGGGATTTTTATTGACAATATTGAATTTAGTGCCTCATGTCTATTAACTCAAATAATCTAAATAAAAGACTTTAACATTAATATAAAAGAATATATTACAAAATTGAAATAATGTTGTCTCAAATAAATGCTCGTCCACCAAGGACTAATAGGCTAACACATTCTTTCCAAATGACTAAAACAAGAAAGTCAAAAAAAAAAAACAACACTATTGTTAACAAAGTCATAATGTAGCAACTTGTAATTAATAAAGATCGGGGAAACTATTCAACACTTTCGATGTCTATGTCAGAATGATCTAGAAATAAGAAATTAGATTTGGATTTTTATGTTCAAGAAATTAGGAAATTGTAAAATTTAGCTTCTTCTCTTAAATCTCCAATTCATTTTACTTCTTGATGTGTGTTTATTCTATAGTTATTAATATCCTACAACATATGAGATGTGTTTTACAGTACGATTCGATACATGTCTTTAATAATACGTATTAGAGAGTGTATCATAAACTTTATACGTTGATGTATATCATACGATACGATACATATCGGTTTATATCTTTAAAAATATCGATACGACTTTATTAATTTGGGTCAAAGACTTAAAAAGGTTTTCGGGTTGGATCCGGGTCACCCAATCCAGTTCACTGAAACCTACCCAAATTTATCTATTTTGTATGGAGAGAGTGAAGAGAAATATGTGTTATCTATTTTGCATGATAATAATAACATAAGTAGAAATATAGATATTGACATTGATCTTGGAAATAATATCAATGGTTAAGAGGAAATGATATAGATTCTTAATTTTGTGATTAATTTTGATTATGTAATACTATAATTTAAAGTCAATAATACCACAAAATTCGTTAATTAATCTTGGGGGATGATATTAATTTTTAGAAGAAAAAAAAAATTATGAAAAAGATGTGTCCTACGATACACGATTTAAAAAATTAGGTTTTCGATAAAAAATAAAATACGTGATTTGACAACCATAATTTATTCTATTTGTATGCCTATAATTAATATCTCTTGAGAACGCTTATGTTTTATTTTGTATCGTTCAAATGATAATTTTCATACATATGAAATTTAACGTATGAAATTTGTTAAAGAGACAAACACTTAATAATAATGATTTATTCGACCCTCCTATAAAAACCAATTAATTTTAAGTTTTGTAGTTTTTCTTTTTTTTTTTTTTATAAGTTTTCAGGATAACTTAAGATCTTGTCATCCAACTACAAACCAAGTTGATTATAATTAAACTAATATAATGTTGAGTCTTCACTTACTGGCTTAAGCTTTTATAAGACTTAACACTGTATAATCCAAGTTTTAAGGTTTAAAATTTACTAATCCCTAATTTGAATGTGGATGAATTTAAATCTAGAGTGAAAAATAAATTAAAAGCAATGCTATAATTACTGAAAAAATATATCAAATTCATACACCGAACAGACGTATCATTATCTGCTTTTTTTTAAAATAAAATTCATAATTAATCAATAGTCATAATAATATCACGTCTATCAATGCATAAATTCGATGTCCCTTTTTGAATCATTTTCCATAAATTAAAGCCTTAGTAGCTGGGTGACTGTGGAATACCGCTACGTCGGATAAACTGGGTTCATCACACTATTCTTCTGAACAAAGAATTGAGAGGAAGGTGTGAGGACCGTGAGGTACCAAGTATTTCCCCAAAATTAATTTCTTAATCTTATAACAAATTGCAAAACTAAGTAGCTACTGAAATTAAATAAAAAGAAAAGGTTGAAAAGAGTTTTAATAATTTCACAGGTGATTACCTCTGATATAGGAGTAATACTACACTCACAACCTCTTCTCACAAACTTTTTCTCACAATCCCGACATAACAATTCGCAAATAAATCTCGCTTATTCGTCATGGATTTCACCTGTCTATTTACAAACTGACCAATAACGGACAATCAGGTTGAGAAGGTCGAGATTATGAGAAAAAATTTGTAAGAAGAGATTGTAAACGTACTATTTTTGCTAATATAAATAAGATGCATGCCGAAATTAAATAGTTAATCAAACCAGTACAGGAAAAACTGATTTTAATTTATCCATTAAACCCACCTTATAACAACAAAATCACAGACAAAAGGCTTGCCTCTTCCCTCAGCCTTTTTCCCTACAATGATTTTTGCTACATTTCAATTCTATTAGAGTTGTCAATTTATTCTATCAAGGTAATACTACACTTACAACCCAATCTCACAAACTTTCTCACGCAATTTCGAAGTGACAACTTGCAAATGAGTCTCGTCTACTCACTACGAGGCCCACATGTTCAATTGCGAACTGATCAATTGTGAGAGAAAGTATATAAGATTAGATTGTGAGTTAATCTTTATTGATTCTGTAATCAGACAAATGGTAACCAACTTTTACACTTATTATAGTAGACCCAAGTTTTCAGGCAAAAAACAAAAAACACCTCTCCATAAAAGCATTAACATAGTTAATGATTCAAATAAGACTCCCAACCATCTTGCTCTAGCTTCTCAGTTTTTGTCAAGACATCGTTCTTGATGTCTTTCAAGTACTGGCTCATTCTGCACAAAATTTTTTCAAAACATCAATAAGCAGGAGCAAAGGAAAATCATTTAAATTACTATTTTCATGAATTATCTATATAACCATAGGGAGAGAGGAACCCACCTTCCCAGTAGATCAGCATTGCCAACCCCCAACATCCTTACTGCTAACAAACCCGCATTTGTTGCATTATTTATTGCGACTGTTGCAACTGGGACATCCCCACGCATCTGAATAATCAAATTAGAATTTATCAGTACGAGGAAAAAAAAAATTCTGAAAGCACTAATATAACATATAAATTTCCATCTTGAAGAAATTGATACAAGCAATATGTGCTATGTCAGGCTATACAATTGGACGTTACTTTTGTGCAAGGGAAGTCATCATGGATACACCAACAGGATTTAAATAGTTTTTGTCATTCTGTCATTTAAATATTCTCTAGTACCGTGAAAGTTATAGATCCAATAAATGTGGCCTAACATAATAGCGTCATGATGTTTCTAGAGCTTACATGAGTCAAGAAAATAAACTTACTGAATAGTGATTTCACTAAAAATATCCAAAAGACTACAATGTAATTAGCCACTGGCTATTGCAATAATGCTTATAAGAAAAGAGAACCGACAAACCAAAAGGGTACCTCTTAGATATATCATACATGAATTTTGGGTGCCAATAGATTAATTTCATAAAAATTTAAGACCATAGGAGAATGAATATTCTGAGCATTACATCTATAAATATAATAGTAAGAGTTAAATAAACAGACTACCTGCACAATTGATAAGAGTGAATCAATTCCATTCAATGCAGAAGACCGCACTGGAACGCCAATAACAGGCAAGGGAGTAAGTGCAGCAACCATACCTAGAGTTCATCCCAGAGCTGATGTAATTCCAAACGAAAAATTGTGGATTATGATACTGTTTATGGAGAATATTACTAAAACTTGCCTGGCAAGTGGGCTGCACCACCAGCACCAGCAATGATGATGGAGATGCCTTGATCCTGAGCAGAAGAGGCATAAGTAAACATCATTTCAGGAGTCCGATGTGCTGATACTATTTTAACCTGAGAATTAGAATTACAAAAGGTCAGGTAGAAATAGATTATACACAAATGAATATCACACATCAAATGGCTGAAGAATATGAATATATGCATATAACAGTAAGGTTCTAACCTTATGAGGTAAATCAAATAAGCTAAGGATCTTAGCAGCATCCTTCATAACAGGAAGATCTGAATCAGAGCCCATGATTATCTCAACATGTGGGGTAACTGTATTAAGCAAATAACAGAATTTCAGTGTCATACTTTCTCAATTCATTGGTGAAGGCATTAAGCAAAAGCGCATCCAGCTACAAATCACAACCAATGTAAACAACTGTTGTTTACAGTATGATCCAACAATAAAATGCCAATATGAATCAAACATCGCAACTCTCAAATTGGTGGAAGGGGAAAAATAGTATCATTATTTGCAAACCCAGACCAAAAAACAATAGTTTCAGCAAAGAGATGGAGCTGACTGAAGGAAATAATACTATAAATGTTTTTCAATCTGTCTTGATAAAATCTTAATACTATTTTTTCTGAATTCAAGTATACTATTCAACAAACTAAAACTTACAGTAGCCAATGAAATCCCATATTTAAATATAAATCACCAAAAAAGCATTGAGGTACCCAAGGATTCAATAAAATGACCAACCATCTTTCTGTAACTTCTCTGCTTTTTTTAGGACATCATCCCCTGCATCTTCCTGATACTGGCTCACTCTGCAAATAACATGTCCAATATCATAAATTGGAACAACATGAAAGTTATATAGTTTATAGTGCACCACATTTCAACAAGAGAGAGTAATACAATAATTTTATTCGTTTGGAATTTAAATAAAATTCATCTAATTTTTTATTTATTTATTTTAAAAAATTAGAAGTTTGCATTATTTGCAACCACAAAGAGAGAGGATCCAACCTCGCAAGTAGATCAACATTGCCATTTACCCCCAACATTTTTGCTGCTAATAAGCCTGCACTTCTTGCATTATCTATTGCGACTGTTGCAACTGGGACACCTCTAGGCATCTGATTAATCAAACAGAAAAGCTTTTACGAAGAATATTTTAGAAGACAAAATACATTAAAATAAAAATCAAATTTCATTTTGAATAAAACAATAAACGGAATATGTTGCATGTGGGTACCTGAAAAATGTTTATAGAATGGAACTCGTTAGGCACACGCTAATGGGATGTATACATCTCTTGAAATTGTCATTCAAACATTACTTGGAAACATGAAAAAATTATGCATTCATAAGCATGATGTAAGAGAAATGCCTCAAGAGGCCCATTGCAAACAATTTTCACATGCTGTAAAAATAATTGAAAATGGTAAATTTGCTTCTTACATTCAAAAATATGTAATTAGCTCTCTGTCAATAGATAGAGAAAAAATCAAGAAGCAAACAACAATAAAGGGTACCTTAGGTTCCAGTTCTGAATTTTGGAGATGTGCTAAAATATCCATTTCATGGTATTTAAAGAGGAAAGATAGAAAAAGAAACATTTTTGTACTACAGTACCTGCACCACTGATAAGAGTGAATCGAGTCCATCCAATGCCGAAGCACGCAAAGGGACACCAAAACAGGTAAGGGAGTAAGTGCAGCAACCATACCTAAATATTGAGAAAGAGCACATAATCCCAGTAAGACCATTTGTGCATTACTTCACTATACATAGAGCAGAATGTATAACCTGCCTGGCAAGTGGGCTGCACTACTATCACCAGCAATGATAATCCGAATGCCTCGCTCCTGAGCAGATAAGGCATAATCAAGCATCATTCTAGGAGTTCGAGTGCTGAAATTGTTCTAACCTGAAAACTCATAGTATATACGATTTTTAGAGTTAGCATTGGATGTACGGAAAGATACTTTACATAATTTCAAAAGTAAACTATAAATGTGACTATGCAACCTCGTAAGGTACACCACACATGCTCAAGATCTTAGCAGCATCATTCATAATAGCAAGATCTGAATCCGAGTTCATGATAATCCCAACACGATGTGTGACTGCAATAAGCAATAGTAGGAAGAACTTAAATATCAGCTAAATTGGGAGGGATAAGCAAAAATGTAAGCAATGCAACTGAGATCATAAGAACCTAAGATGGAATGGTCAAACAAAAAAACCCAGCCACAATACTATCTAGTGTAAGCGAGAAAAATATCAATTTGAAAGCTAAAAAAAAATCCCATTTCAGCAAAACCTATGTAGTAAGAAGGAAAGGATACTCCAAATAGCAAAGCGTGCAGCCTATTTCACTTCAATTTTTCCAAAAAAGAAAATGCATAAGCATTACAGTTGTCGGGCAATACTTCAATCTGTTTGAAGCTATCAACACAATGATTTTCAGCCAATACTATTAATAATGAAACTTACTGAAGACAGACCATTCGAGCTTTCTTCAGAGTTTCTGGACAAGTGAATCATCCTTCCTACACAGTTGGATTCCTATATAAATAAAGACCATTAATATTTAACCACAACTATGATTCCTACCATGAAAGGGTCTACAAAAGGTGTTTTGAATAACTATTGAGCATTTCTTTATGGCATAAAGATGGTAACTCTATAGACTTGAGTCTATGCCTACACCTCAATGAGATATAATACTCAACTCCACCTTGGACACTGAGAAAATGTAAAATATAAACCGTTTGAATATAGATACCATTTGGATACTTTGCTAATCGCCCCGTTACAATGCCAAAACGATACTTACTAACTTAAGCTGAATGTCACTAATACAACAGTGTATGCCCAAAGCAAGGATACTGGACTAATATAATTTCATATAAAAGGAACTCAATTTCAATGAATAAACTGTCCAAACAGCAAATCAAAAAGAAAAATAAACAAGTGAAGCAAATTACTGAAATTAAAGTGTGGACCTCGGAGAAGAAGTCCCAAGAGAGTCACGTGAGGCTTGGCAAGTTAGATTCGAGTTTCATAAGACTTGCTAGGTTGATTTTCCATTAGAAAGTCAGTTGTATGGTTTTCCAAGTGAAATTTTATGAAACGGAGACTGAAGGTGAAATTGGGAGTGAAACAGACTCAAAGTTTTTGAAAGCACTACGTTATGAAGATTTTAAGTTTCACTGACTCTGTGCCAGCACCACGGCGGAAGCGGCAGCGGTGGCGACGGCTGTACTTTAATCGCGGCAGGCGTGGCCTTACTGTGGACTGTCTGCTGCACTTACCTGTGATTTATATAGCAGAGAAATTAAGCCGAATTAACCGGGTTTAACCAATAAGAAGGGTCGGGTTCTATCAACCTGTCAAAAGGTATAAAATTAATATTCAAAATCTTTTTTTTTTTTCACAATAAATTTAGAACATTTTAGATTTGTGTTGCCTAATTTTTTTCCCAAACGAATGTTAGTATATATATAGTGTTAGATTACGAAGATTTATAATACGATAAAAATCTAATTAAAAATTATGGAAATAGAAAAAAAGAAAAAGAAAGGGATTTTTAGCATTTATCTAATTAAAATAAAACAAAAACATTTCAATAATTATGAAAATTTAGGATTGTTTTATGTAAGATTAAATGTTAAAAATTAAAACAAAAAAATATAATAGGTATGAATGTATTAGAAATTATAATATTATTCTAGTGATTTAAATTAAAGTTAAATTTATCAAAACAAAAAAAAGATTTAAAAGTGGGGGGGGGAGATCAATTAGGTGGGGGATAAAAATCACTTCTTTTAGAAAATATGTACTTAAAATTTAGTGTAGAAAACAAAATAATGAGGTAAAAAGGGTCCGTTTAATTTATGATCCGAAAATAATTTTCAAAACCTAACTAATATTCAATTTTTTTAATATATAGTACAAAATGTGTTAATATAATATTCACTCAAAGTATTTAATTATAATATATATTTTTTGAATTTTATACTAATTTTTAGGATAATATTCAGAATCTATTTTAAAAAACATGTAGACTCGTTTCTATCAAACGAGTTTCGTACGATTAGCTTTTAAATATAAAACTTTACAAGTTCATAGAATAAATAATACAGTATAATGTGCCTAGGGGTGTATATGAGCCGAAACTCTTGGTGTTCGAAACTTGATTCGTGAAATTGGAGCAATCTTGATCTCGATCTCGAGCCTTGCAAGCACAGAGAATTCAGGCTCAAGATCAAGCTCGATCGAGCATGTGAAGCTCAAGCTCGGATCGAGCTCGACTCGTTTAGCATTCGGTACCCAGCTCGTATAATATACGAGCCGTTTGGGCTTGAGTTCGGCTAACTCGAGCCAAGCCGAGTAGCTGGGAGCTAAATTTGAATAAAAGCTGTGTTTTTAATTAACAATGTAATATGAACACACCCATTTTATAACAGATGAGGTAGGTTTATATTTTTGACCGTATAATCAAATAAAAATTCATTATTGGAGATAGAACATATTCTCAATAACAGAGTTCTTGATTCAGCAAAGCAATTTGCTTTCCCCGAACTTATACAGAAAGATAGCAGAAAACCTGTGTAATACTGTAGTCTGTCAAGACCAAAAAGATAAAAGATTAGCTTGCAAGGTCATTAGGCTTACTAATAATTTTACTTAACTGAATTTGAGTGATCCTCAAAACAATCGTATGCATCCGAAAAATTGTAGCTCTAATTAAATTCATATCTTATGGTTCATTCCTAATGCTATCTGGTTTTGTCGAGTCACTGTTTTTGTCTTCCTGATACCGGTTCACTCTGCATGTATTGTATATGCCATAGATTATATTGCGCAAAATTCAGCATAGAGATCTGATCAACGATGAAACCATAACAGACAGAAAGGGAGAAGAACCAACCTTGCAGTAGGTCAGCATCACGACAACCCCCAATGTCTTTGCTGCGAAAAAAGCTGCACTTTTCGCGTCATTTACTGAACTCTTGCAACAGGGTCATCCGCTACTCCTGAATAATCAAAATATAAAATTTGTAAAGACTTTCAACATTGATGAATAGAAGAGAAAAAATTGCAAAAACAATAAAAAACTTGACCAAATTTAACCATTTTGTAAAAATTAAAAGAATTATGCATTAAATAACTATAGCCTAACAGAAGTATATTCATCATCCCTTTGCCAAAAGTTACTGAACCACAAAGCACATGTGCTAACGTATATTATACTGTTCTCAATAAATCTAAAACCCACAAAGTAACTAGCTCTCTATCAATAATTTAACCCAAACAATAATAATAGCTAAGAAAACCAACCCATAACAAAAAGCGGCATATCATAGATTCCAAGTGTGGTTTCTTAATTGCCCATAATTAATGTGGTATTATTACGTACCCTATAATGTTAATATAAGTTAAAAACAGTCTTACCTTCCATCCAATTCAGAGAGCGAATAGGGACACGATAACAGGTAAGCTAGTAAGGCCAGCAACCATACCTACAAAAAGAAGGCAGAGCTTTTAAACCTGGCGAGGACATTGATGCATTAAACGACATATATGAAGCATTATTATAACTTGCCTGGCAAGTGGCCATCACACAGCAATGATAATTTGAATGCCTCGCTGCTCGAGCAGTTGAGGCATAAGAAAACACAGTCTGATGTTTCTGAAACTGTTCTTACCTGAAAATTAAATTTTGTATTGCAAAAGATGAGATAGAAATGGTAACATATAAGGACGTATTATACAACCAATAACTGGTAAATTCAAAAATCAGAACCAGCAATCAAAGGGTAACCTCATTAGCTACACCAAAATGCTCAATATCCTCACTGCATCCTTCATCACATGAAGATCTGAATCAGAGCTCATGAGGATTCCAAAAGATGCGGTGTCTGCATCAGGCAAACAATAGGAAGCAACTTGAATATCTAATTCATTGAAGAGAAATAAGAAAAAAAAAACATAAAAGAGTCATCTTAGCACCTAAAACAAATGCAATGGGATGGTCAAACAGTAAAGCCAATAACATAACCACAAGTTTGGCATCAGCTTAAGCTTACGAAAAATGACTTAACAATAGCATTTACACTCAAATCATCATAATATTAATCCAATAAGATTTGATACAAGTACTAAGGCATCAAAAGGGCAAATTACTACAGATGGACAATTACAACTGTCTCCTTCAGCATCGAATTAGCGTGCTTCTAGAGTGCCATAGATGGCCCACATAGTTATATGACCATCTTCGTGCTTTCTCATTGCAGGAGCATTATAGCAATGCCAGTACTTGTTACAACCATCAAATGGAAAGAAAACTGAATAAGCGTTGTAATTAGCTTATATGATCAAGGGAAAAATCTAACCGGCTTACATACCAATGAACACTAGCCCCTGGAGTACCCAATGCCCTCTCAATCAATTGATGAGCTAAACGGAAACAGGCTCCCCCTGATCATAAAATCGGGTGACAATCAACATTTTAATAAGTGCTTCTTTCTAAGAACAAAGTGGTAACAGCAATGAACAAATTACTTTATAGGCATTTAATGCCATCCAAAAAGTAGGACCAGAATAATGCACAAGCCAGGTACATCTGTGCATACAAACACACATGCCTAATGCATGTTCACGCACAAAATAACTTTAAACGCAATCAAGCCACATGACCTGAAAGAAAAAGTTTAGGCCCCAGATTTTACAGTAGCATAACAACAGAATGAAAAGAGAAAAGAATTTCACCTCATCTTCACCCAGTAAATTGTACATGATAGCAGCTGGACATTTCATTGATGGATCACCAAGCGGAAGGCCAACAACAGCACGCAAATGCTGCTCAAATTGTGAGGTGTAACAAGCCTCAATTGTGTGGTGACCACTATTGTGAACTCTAGGAGCCACTTCGTTTAGTAAAATCTGTTCATATGTTTATAGTAAAGCATAAAAACAAGGCTAAAAACTTGAAAAAGCTAATGCAGCAGCTTAAAGAAATGAATATGTCATGCAAAGTTAATAATAGTTGCAAAATTACAACCTGTCCATCATTCGTCAAAAATAACTCCACTGCAAACACACCAGCACCCTCCAATGAACTAACAGCTCGGTAAGCAACATCATTGGCAAGTTTCTTAGTTTCCAATGGCACAACAGCAGGTGACTTGACTATGTGGCATATGTTTTCCCTACAAGATCATATCCAGATCAAATGCACAGATTACTTGGTAAAATTCATCTGGAAACTTAGACATTATTGAAAGTTTAAACACAACAGAGAAAACAAAAAAAGTTATCCACAGAAAATGAAATGCTGAATCTAAATCTTACTTGTGAATTGTTTCAACAACAGGGTAGCACAAGATAGAATTGTCTCTTCCTCTTGCGACAATGACAGCCAGCTCCTTTAGTCATTGAAAATTAGAAAGCAAAATGTCATCATTATGAAGACGAAAATTAAACCAAACAATAGGTTCTAGAAAATAACTTGAAATCTTCTCATAAATCAAAGAAATAGGAGGTAACGGGGAGTGAGTTCAGCGCCACTTCCTAGAAGGTAACTACTAAATTTTGAGTAAGAAATAAGAATAAACTTCTCATACTTTTAAAGTTTGGAATCAACAATGTTTCCATTACAGAATCTATGAAGTTTATAACACCTTAAAGTAGAAAAATGTGCTAAGGGAAAAACCTAAGAAACTTGAATTGCACAAGTGACTCTGCAAGTAAAAGATCCAGCAATGTAAACAATTGATAAAAATGCTGGTACTGTTGTGCATCTGTCAAATGATACCATAAAACCTATCTATTTTCATATAACTCTCAAATCCTATTTCGCCTGTTTCCAATAACCTTTTATGTGCATATGAGATTTTGCAATGCGAAGAAAAGGTTTGAGAATAAGACAAAAAGAACCTGAAGCAAAAACTACCATCATCATTATTAGAGTAAATGGTACAAGCCAGACACTGACCTTGACAAAGGGTGCCCATTTCTCAACATATAAACCACGATCAAATCCTCCAAGCGCTGCAAAAGATTGAAAAGCTTAAAATCACATGGAAATAAGAAACACCCACTCATTAGTATTATGAATTCAAAAATAAATAAAATACCACCAGTAACCAAATTTTACACAAAGCATAACTAGGGACGAGGTGACCAGAATATTTATAATTCCAAATAAGTGGCCATTATATTTTTTATCAAACCAAACAGAATCTTCCATAACATGGCAAGTAAGAGTAACATTACTTCATGAAAATAGATGTAGGTTTCAGTTCATTCGGAATTCATATGGTTTACATTTTTCAGGAAACAAAATTTTACCGTTTATTGCAGAAGAAAGCTCCTCTTCACTCTTGGCAACAGCATTGCCACGCCCATCATAGGCTAACCTTTTGCTCTTGATCATAAGAGGGTAGCCAAACTGACAAGCTGCTCTCCTAGCACCTTCAAGATCATCTATCTGTCTCAGCCATATATCAGGATCAAGAAATTAAAATCTGAAAATATTTTCTTTCACGAATAATTTGGTAGGAAAATATGAAAATCACTCTGTAAATCCTCAATAAAACATTTATAATGAATGAAAGCCAACCTGCATGAACTCAGGTAGTGGAATTCCATGCTGAGAAAAATGGACCTTTTGGAGGAATTTATCCTGTAAGATGAAAACACGGGTCAAGCAAAATGCAGATAAAGAGGAACAGAGTTATGTTTGACATCAAAAATTCTGAATAAACAATGACAATAACTGGGTTTAGGATAATTAGGTGGAAATTCATGGAAGAGTTGTAACACATTACATGCACAAAGATGGGTCTCTACAAAATTATATATAACTAAAGATTCTTTAGAGAGACACACAAACATCTAAACCATTTGACTTGATTGTACACATTACACAATAAAAAGGCTCCTCTAACCACCCAAGTGCTAACCTAGCCTGAATAGTAATACAGTAACATAACATTAAAAATCAAGTATTTGCAACTCTTGCTCCTCACATCATCTTCCCTAAGGATAACAGTATCTATGGTAGTTGTCAACAAAAGATATTTAGAGAAACAAGCCCAAAAGAAAAGGGGTACGACAGTAAAACCTTCTTGTTTTCAAATAATTTAGCCTCATACATGCATAAGGCTAAGTACAAAATTTATATTATCAAATACCCCAAATGAAAAGTTTAGCTATAGTATCATACATCCAAGAAGAATCTACATTGGTGAATATGTATATTATCCACTAACAAAGGTACACTGTTCGAGCAGAAAAACTCCAGGCCTAAAACATTTATTTGTATAGCTTATATATGCATACACTTAACAATTTGGAAGATGACATTCAAAAACAATGAGAATGATGAAAGACTTACTTGGATTATCCGAATGGTAGAGGCTTTAGGTTGACAATCTACTCCTTGTTGTTCAAGCTTATGCAATGTGGCGACATCAACATGTTCAATCTCAACAGTCAACACTCCACATCTAACTACCAGCAACAAAGACAGCATATAAAAAATCTGTTTCCACTAAAAACTATAGACATAGTAGCATCACCACAAATTACAACAATTTCAAGAAAAACTGAACCTCTTCGCGAAGTTCTCAACCGTAGCACTATCATCAAAACTACCAACCATGTGATGATAAGAAAGTGCACTCGCCGGACAGTTTTCAAGTGGGTCTAAAACCATAACTTTAATAGCCATTTGTGAAGCCGCTTGGCATAACATTCGACCTAACTGCCCTCCTCCAAGAACACCAACAATCATCTCAGATAATCCATGAACAGGTGTATGATCCTTCCTACACGTACAACAAATAATGAATAAATACTTCTAATTGAAAACGTAATTATCACAAAGTAAATTGCAAATGGTGTTTTTGATAAACATTAACTTCCTTATCTGATCAAATATTACTTTCCTTGCAACCAAACACAAAGCAAAATAAGATGAAAAATTCTAATAAATGATAAAATTTGCTAAAAATAACCATTAATTTTTTATTCTAATTTGAAATAAATATAGTACAAAACATTGCAAACCAAACAGCACCTAACTCATTCTAAAAAATAAATTAAAAATAAAAAACTTCTCAAAAAATGAAACGAATTACTGACCTGGTAGTAGAAGAATCGTGAGAGTCACGGGATGCTCGGCACGCCAAAACCGGATTTTTATAAAACTTTATGCTGTGCTTTTCCATTAAAAAACTCACTTTGTATGGTTTAGGAAGTGAGAGTTTACGAAGCGAAGGCTTGAAAAAGAAACTTGAACCGAAAACGGATTCAGCGTTTTTTGAAAACGCAACGCTTTGAAGCATTTTGTTTTAGCGGTTTATATAAGCACCACACTGGCGGCGCTTCACTCTCTCACTACTGCTACCAGCCCTTCTGAAGGCACGGCTCTCACTACTGCTACCAGCCTATGGCGGCACGGCGGCGCTACCTATCGCCGAGAGTCTCGGTTCTTGTCTGTGTGACTGATGTCTAGTTACTCTGCTTTGTTGGTTTAGAACATAAATATTTCGGGTCAGGTAACCGGGTTCGGCATAGAAATTGGATATTTACTTAAAGAAACACAATATAAATAGGTATTAACCTAATAAGTAATGTTTTTTATTACTCTTCCATTAAACCTTTTAGAGAAAAATGTTGAATTAAAAGAGTAATATTACACTTATAAAGAAATTTTATAAAGATTTTCGTACAAAATGATGTGACAAAATATGAATAGAAAAACGAATTTAATAAGTTTGACTTTTTTTTTCACTCTTTCATTTATCACTCTTCCATTTATAAGTATAGTATTATTAGAATTAAAATCATACATATCTAATTTATGTATTTTATTTTTAAATATATTTATATTATAGGGATATTGTTATTGGAGGACAAGTTTTTTATAAATTTCAAAATATATTAAAAAGAGATAAAACTCCGTTAATTTCATTTAAATTTAACAGAAACATATTGAAAGACATAAATGCTGATACATAAATATTTGTAAAAAATATTTTTAGAAAAATGTAAACAATAAAAAATTAAAAGAGAAATAACCAGTAACGATTATTCAAATTTGTTGTAAAAATTAAAATAACCAAAGGATACATTTGTTTGAAAAATTGAAATTATAATGAGAGAAGCAAGAAACTTATAATTCCATTTATTTTCAAAAATTAAAAACATAAAAAGAAAAAAGTAAAAAAAGCCAATTTAAAAAGAATAAAAACCAAAAAAATTGGAATAAAACGAATCGCCATTGCAACCAGCCGCGGCGCTAGCTAGAGAGTGGCCAAGCCAAGCCACCGCCCTTGCCTAGCCAGGACTATGATCAACGGCTATATTCTAGAGAAACAAACAGTATCAACGGCCTGCGTCTTAAACATCACTAACTATTGCAATGAAGTAATTTTAGCCATTGATCTTACAGTCAATCCGCACAATTTATATCCTCCATAAACTGCCCCATCCATATGAATTCGTTGACAGTGAAGGGTGCGTTTGGTTTATTATTTTGGATAGGATTTTGAGAATAATATTGGGTAGTTAAATAGAGGAGTATTACGAGGTAAAATTTAAAAATTTATAGAAAAGCCCCTAGGTTTACTAATTTAATTAAACACCCCAACATATAAAATGACAAAAATACCCCCACCACCAGTAGTGCCAAATTCCGGCCACCACTGCCAGAATCTGGCCAAAAAATCTCGTTATGACACATACCAGTCGGATTTGTGTCGTAACACGTCTCTATGGCCTTTTCCGACCAGATCCACCACGGATCTGGTCAGAAAAGGTCAGATCTACAACCTGATGTGGTCGTCGACGGCCAGAAAATGCCAAAACGACAGCATGACCAAAGATATGGCCGTCATTTTCAGTCAACGACAGCCATTTCTTTGGCCATCGCTGACAGCTCAGATCGATGAATTACCGGCCAGTTCCGGTCGATAATTCACCATTGTGGCAGATTCCGGCTATCACCGACAGTGGTTGCCGGAATCTGGCAAGTATGGGTTACGGGGGTGTTTTTGTTATTTTTTAAACTTTTTTTTAGAGGGTATTTAATGAAATTAATAACCTTATGGGGCCTAAAAGTAATTAAAAAATAGGGTAATATTTCTGGAATAATGTGTCAAACATTATTTGAAGAATATGATTGGGAATATAGGTAGAAATAATAAGCCAAACATGCCCGAAACCATTCTTTATTTGTTTATTATGGTTTTTTTTTTTTTTTTTTTTTTTAACTACCGGAGTGTCTAGACCAACTTGCTCATGCCTTAACTAATCCCTTAGAACCTTGAAAGTCTGACCAACTAATCCTCTAATGACCATCCATATTAACAATTGGGAGGACTAGAACTTAGGAACTTGGGGAGTCTTCTTTTGTTCTTTTACCATTTTACCATTAGGCCACCGGTTGTGGTTATTTGTCAATTATGTTCCTCTTCCAAAATTGTTGTCTCATGTTGGCCTGAATTGTTTAGTTTAATAAGTTTCCCAAGAAAGTCCAAGGCAAACCAAATGTTAAATTTAACATTTTTTTTTTTTTTTTTTGTGACCCAGGATGTTCGACCAGCTCGCGCATAGCTCTACTAATTCCCAGAGACTCACACCTCCACTAATCTTTCAGGATCCTGAAGTTAACGACCAGATAAACCCTTCAGTGGAGACCTCTATTAACAATCGAAAGGGGATCGAACTCAAAACCTTTGAGTAATATATCTAAGAGTCTCTATCGTCTCACTCGACCACCCTAATTTAACCCTTTAATTTCTATAAGTAAGCTTTTTTAAAATATTGTCCCTCAATTGACAATATTTCTATATTATACAATAAAATAAAAACCAATAATACTATAGTTACAAATAAATTTTACAAAAAATTTCATACAAAGTGAAGTGACAAAAAATGAATGAAAGAGTGAAACAAAAAGTCAAACTCATTAAATTCACTCTTCCATTCATTTTTTGCTACATCACTTTATATGAAAATCTTTGTAAGATTTCTTTACAAGTGTAGTATTACTCAATAAAAACCCCATTCGGTATGATTGAATAATTATTCCACTACATTATTTATTAAGAAACTTGTGTCATAAAATAGGCCTTTAAAGTAAATAATAACCAAATTAAAAATAAGTAGATTAAAATAGAGATGAACTGAGTGATTAACACATAACATAAACGACAATATATTGTTATCAGGGCCAAATATATATATTCATTGATTTTCAATTATATTTAATCACCCTATATAATAATTATTATTTTATTTGTGTTTATATTCGTATTAAAGGAGGAATGCATCGAATCAATTTTTATTTAATTTTAATCTTGGCAAAAATCAATATTCATTTAATTTTGATCTATTAAATATAAATTTATTATTTGAGATACTAGAGGAAACTAATATTAATTTAACTTTTTGATATATCCTATATTTAATATATTTACTCTAATCTACAATAAAATAAAAGTTAATTTTATCATTTTCATTAAAGCACTGACATTACTCTTGTCACTTGTTCTTCCTTCATTTCTAATATAAATATTATTGAATGAAAAGGTATGACTCACACTATCCTTTGAAATATAAAATATTTCTTATATTTGGCATTAATTCAAGTTAAAGTAAATATAAACCTAATCGAGCGATACTTTTGTTAGCAAGCGGAACTTAGTTGAGTATCCATAATGTTTTATATTTTAACAAATCCATAAGAAATTTACTTAGTTTCCAAAATATATGACTCAATGGATACTACATTATTAAAACTTTAAGCGAATGTTGGGTAATTGGACAATGCACATGATCCTAAATTAGTTGGCCACGTAGATGTTTGGTACCTTTTTGATGCCCACAATCCTGCTCACAGACGGGATATGTTTTTATTTATAATGACAGTATGACACTGCAATATCATGACGCTCTACATTGGTTTCTACTTTTTCCAATCATCCGAGATTCTTGCGTTTCATGAAACCAGTTGAGAATGCATATGATTAAGATCTGTCATCCATTATATTAAGAGTACATGCAAGTTCCGACGTACTTTATAAACTCCTACAATCATAAAGGAAGACAATATAGCACATATTGCTCAAGTCAAATGGAGATATATCAAGGGAGACAAAATTAAGGATATTTCACTAAAGTTCTTTTACACTCACAAACTCGAGCAGAGTCGAGAGATTGATGTAAAAAAAGTACGTTATAGTGATAATCTTGTAAATTTATTCACTAAGACCTTACCAACATCAACATTTGAAAAGTTAGTGTATGACATTAGTATATGTCCTCTTAGTAAGCAACTAAGTTAATTTTGTCATTATGAGGAGGAATGTTGATCAGGAGAGCATCAATTAGGGGCAGTTNTCTTAAACATCACTAACTATTGCAATGAAGTAATTTTAGCCATTGATCTTACAGTCAATCCGCACCACGTATATCCTACATAAACCGCCCCACCTGGCCACCCATATGAATTCGTTGACAGTGAAACCATTCTTTATTTGCCGATTATGTCTTTTTTATTTTTTATCTTTTTTTTGGGTAATCATCGGGGTGTTTATACCAACTTGTTTCGTACCTTAACTAGTCTCTTAAAATCCTAAAAATCTGATCAAGTAATCCTCCAGTGACCACCCCTATTAGCACCTGGAATGACTCGAACTTAGGAGCTTTGAGAGTCTTCTTTTATTCTTTTACTATTTTACCATTAGGGCACCAGTTGTGGTTATTCGTCAATTATGTTCCTCTTCGAAAATTGTTGTCTCACGTTGGCCTAAATTGTTTCCAAGGCAAACCAAATGTTAAATTAACCTTTTTTTTTAATGACCCAGGGTATTCAAACCAGCTCGTGCATAGCTCTACTAATTCCCAGAAACTCACACCTCTACTAATCTCTTCGGGACCCTGAAGTTAACGACCAAATAAACCTTCTAGTGGAGACCTGTATTAGCAACTGAAGGGGATCAAACTCAAGAGCTTTTGAGTAATATAGCCAAGAGTCTTTATCGTCACACTCGGTTATCCTAATTTAACCCTTTAATTTCTACAAGTATTTTTGCTTTTTTAAGGCCATTTTAAAACTTTTTATCTTTTTTCTACCGATTTTTAAAAATATTGTCCCTCAATTGACAATATTTCTATATTATACTATAAAATAAAAAGCCCATTCAGTATGATTGAATAATTATTCCACCACATTATTTATTAAGAAACTTGTGTCATAAAATAGACCTTTAAAGTAAATAATAACCAAATTTATAATTCATGACGCTCTACAAAATATGCATTGGTTTCTACTTTTTCCAATCATCCGAGATTCTTGCGCTTCATGAAGCCAGTCGAGAATGCATATGATTAAAATCTGTCATCCATTATATCAAAAGTACATACAAGTTACGATGTACTTTGTAAACTCTTACAATCATAAAGGAAGACAATGTAGCACATATTCTTCAAGTCAAAGGGAGATATATCAAGGGAGACAAAATTAAGCATATTTCACTAAAGTTCTTTTACACTCACAAACTCGAACAGAGTCAAGAGATTGATGTAAAAAAATACGTTCTAATGATAATCTTGTAAATTTGTTGACTGAGACCTTACCAACATCAATATTTGAAAAGTTAGTGTATGACATTGGTATACGTCCGCTTAGTAAGCAACTAAGTTAATTTTGTCATTATGAGGAGGAATGTTGATCAGGAGAGCATCAATTAGGGGCAATTTAGAAATAATTATTGTAATGGACATATATGTATTGTACTATTTTCCCTTAATTAGGTTTTGTTCTACTAGGTTTTTCTAATGAGGTTTTTAATAAGGCAATATTAAGCACGTCCAACACCACTTTTCTGCTCATCATAGAATTGTATTTCCTTACTTAGGTTTCTGTCTCATTGGGTTTTTTCTAAGTAAAGTTAAATGCAATTATCTATAAAGGGTAGATGTACAACAGACATTGTTATCATTATAAGAATTGATTTTTTTTTTTTTTTTTTTTTGGGGTATCGGAGGTGTTCGTACCAGCTTATGCATACCTCAACTAGTCCCCCGGGACTTTGAAGTTAATGACCCACCTCTAGTTGCTATCCCTTATTAGTAGTTATGGAGATTTGAACTCAAAACCTCTTGAGTAATACAAGCGAACCGTCAAACTACTAAGAGGTAGTTGTGTAATTGATTCTTGTGGGCGGTTTGTTGGTTGGCAATGACTATAAACTCAGTCCATTTCTTGCATTCTATGTACACAACACAATTGATAAAACAGATATAAAAAAATCTTCTTATTTCAGCCCTTTCTATTATGTTCATTTACTTTCAGTCTTTCTTAGTTTATCTTCTTGCAAATTACATCACTAAAATTATAACAGTTGTAAAGATTGATGGTAAAATAAACATATATATATAATATGAAATTTCATTAAGTTTATTTCCTTCAAAATTTTAAATTAAACATCTTTTCAACCTCAATATTATAAGTTAACGATAATAATGGTAAATCTAACCAACCACCCCTGGATGGCCTGTAAAAGGGTCCAATATAGGTTTCTGCGACGGGTTATACTCAAACTCGACTCGACCCTACTACGAGCCAATCACAAGTCTAAGTATTTAACGAGCCGAACCTACTCGCAAGCGGACAACCCTGGGTGGGATAATCATGTAAAGATATCTAAAAATGCTGGTAAAATATTGGCAATAGTAATTTTGAGATTTAAGATGATTTTATTTAACCAAAAAAAAAAGTTACAAAAAGAAACTCCACACTTCTATATCATTCTCTTTGAATAAAATCTCAATTCCAACAACAATTTCATTAGATATCTTATAATTAGAATCCCTCTTTCTTCTAGCCAACTCCTTCACTTCTGCAAACCCTAGTTAGATTTAGACATGATACACTTTTGATTTATTGGAAGAACTTAAGTATTCTCTTTCAGATCCAGGAACGAGATTTTTTTTTTTTTCCCTTTGGAAGATACAGTAGCAAAACAATCAAGCTATTGATAATTCCTATACGTATCATTTCTGGGTTCAATGGAATTCATTTCCAAATATAGATTTTTTATTTCACAGGATTACACAGACCTTCCACCCTTGTGTCTGCAGAAGTCATGAAGCAAAACTTAAGACAATGGACACTAAAATGCATGCTAATGCAGCTAACACACCAAATAAATTACAAAAAAACTTGAGCAATTAAAGAAGCAAATCAAATTGGTATGCAGAATTGTAACTGATTTCAACCTTTTTATTGTTGACTTTACACAAAACTTTTACAATGCAATCACTCATTCACTCACTCCCCAACCTTTCCAATGAAGAATAGTGTTGACTTTACACAAGAACTTGTACAATACAATCACTCACTCACTCCCCAAATTAAAGGGAAAAAAGAAAAAAAATAAATTACAAAGTGGGAAAAAAAAAATACCTCACCAACCGCTTGATGCTTGAATGTTAGCCGTAGTATAATAAACAAGGAACCTAGCGAAAGGAACCCAAAAAAAAAAAAATAAAAAAAATAAAGAGCCAATATGAAAAACGGAAGCACACCTTATGAAGTCAAAACCTATTGAAGTCTTTGTATATGAACAAAGCAAGCCTGTGATGCTGTACAATTAATTACCGGTCTTCATTGCCATAACTGTAGTACACTTTGACCTTCTTTCTTGATCATCAATGCATTGCAGGAATCTGGTGAACGAACAAGTAAGTTGAGGATTAAAACTTGTCTTTGTGAATAACAAAATTGGATTGCAGAATACATATAAACTTCAAAATTCATGGAACAAACTAACAACTATAACGTGACCAAATCTAAACTTCATTGTGCACCATTCTACTAGCCTAAAATATAAAACTTCATTTTCAGTCAAAATTGGAATTAATATCTACTATTAATACAGGTCCTTGAAAATATAAAGTCACTTTTTATCATTACCAAAGGGAGAGCAGCTTTAACCAATCATCTTATGCTTAACTATAAGATAAATTAGTAAATATTCAAAGACTAAAAGGTAACTGTTAAACCCAAAATAAAGCACATTAGAAACAGAAAAACTTAATCTACTGATGAAATAACCTAGTTACTAATTGCTAATTAGTAGTCATTTGAGTGTCTCTGTGTGTGTTTGTTTCTCATAAAATGAGGTATCTGTATAGTCTGCATGTAGACTTATATGTATATAAGAATTTGTGTACAAAATAGCTACATTTGTACAATCTTCGCATTACTCACCAACAAACTAAGTTACTTTAGTGAAACTATAAAATCTACTTACCACTATACTAACATGGATCATTTCGACAATTAATTTCCACCGTCGGTAAGAAATAAAGAAGAATAAGATGAATTAAAGTATACAAAGGTGTTGACATGAGTAGAAAACTGAAGTGTTCACCTTGGAGATGATTATGCATATAGCCTCAAGCAAAAGTTTCATCTCTTCTTAAACCAATCCTTCGTAATTCTTGTAGGTGAGAAGCTATCTCCCGAATGAATCTAGTTCCCTCTTCATTTTTGAGTGATTTAATTGTGAGCTCAAGAAAGTTCTGATCTGCCTCAAGTGCTTCCAACCTCTCATTCAGATCAGCAACCTCATTACCAAGAGAAGCTAAATCTGTCCCTCCACAAAGGACAGGAGTTTGCCCACTGCAATTCAATTCGGTATTTTCCTCACTAGTGAGCTGAGGTTTTTCATGTGAGGAAACATGTCCATGAGCACGTGGACTCCCTCTTGATGCAGATGCATTATTTACCATTGACAAGTCACTCCATTCTGTTCTGCTGTTTGCTAGAGGAACCCCATTACAGTTGATATCCTCTGAATCACTTACATTAACTCCATTTCCAGAATATTCACCATTAACCAAGTCTGAGCAAAGCCCATTATATGAGAACATATAAAGCTTCTTCTCCAATTTTTTCAAACTTCGTAAAATATAGGACCTTTCATCTTCAAACTCTAACAGTGAATTCTTCACAGCAGCTGTATTCGTATCGTCAGATGGCATATCTGTTTCAAGATTTTTGATAACTGAGTTTGTAAGAGTAGCTGCCCTATCTTCACCACAAGTATCTTTTGAATGATCCATTCTGATCTCTCTTTCCTTGCAGTCATGAGTTGGCTCCAACATGTTCTCCACCGTATATACATTTGGAAACTTCTTTCGATAAAACTCAAGCTCTTCTTCTAGATCTTGAATCTCTTTCTCCTTCTCTGCTAGAAGGTCATTTGTCTTTTGCAGTGCTTCCATGTCATACTCAGCTTGCTCTTCCATCATTCTCAAGTTCTGCAAGGCTTCCATGTGGAGAGACGCCTTCTCCTCCTGCAGTCTAGTAATCATTGCCATTGATTGATTTACAGCAACAGCTGAGGCATTTCTTTCTTCCTCCAACTCCCTATACAAAGCACTCAATAATTTTTTATCATGCTCAACCTGCCGTTTCAATCGATCAACCACACTTTCACCTTCAATTTCACTGACAGTGCTTCCGTCCAGAGATTCAAAACCAGATTCATTTCTCTCAAGTGAAATCCTCTTTTGAAGAAGTTGCATCCCATTAGAGCTAGAATCATCACTATTGAAAGACACTTTAGGACTCATATCAGGCAGTACCTGCTCAAACCCTCGAGTGGCAGATAGTTGTGACAACAAGAGCTTCAGATCTTCACTAAGTCTAGAAGAATCCTTCCCAGTCCACTGTTCAGCAAGCAGACCAGACAACTGTCTTCCTCGGTTTCCAACTGCTACCTTATAAGCATCGCTGAGGTCCAATAAATTGGAAGCTTGCAGACCAGTATCGCTGGAAACAGAATTTCTTTCCGTAACTGGTTCATTTGATGTATTTGGCTCACTTCCAGCCTTGCAGTTAGATGTCTCCTCATTTTCATCACTTCTTGAAACACCTAGAAAAAAGGATATGAAACAAGATAAATGGTCAGACAATAGCCATTAGTGCTGTAGCATTTCAGGTGTTTTAACAGCACAAATGATATGTAATTCAGGCTTCAATTTGAGAGCTTTGTACTCTCCATAGATTGAATACTTCTAAAACAATATCATTTCTGTATCAGATGCCAATAATTCAATTATCACCCTCTGTTATATCTCACACTTAAACATATCTGATATTTGGAAGTAAGTTCTTCAGTTTATGGAAAATGCATTTAATCTTTTATACATCCTTGAATATATGTATTAATGCACCGCAAACAAAAGGATAAGACCTTAATAATTATGTATACAAAGCTATAATTTAAGTTAGTTTTTGATAGCTAACTAAGAACTTATTCTATAGAAGTTCTAGAGGATGGGCACCAAATTTGTTATAGATGCACGACTGCATGAGGAGAATATGATATGCAAATTGATCAAAATTAATAAAGAAAAATTCAAAAAGATATAACTTACAGCTCTCTTTTGTTGCTTCAATAGAAGATCCAGTATCGTTGGACAATTGTGGGACATCATCAGGGAGAATAACCTTGCTGTCTTCTGACACTTCAGGAGTATCCCTACCATTTGATGGTGAAGGAACATCATCAACAGAAATAATCTTGCTCTCCTCCAATACATTAACAGCAGATTCAGTAGGATTAGACACTGGTGGGACATCATCTAGGAGAATAACTTTGCTATCTTTTGACATTTCAGAGGGGGTATCCATGCCAGTTGAAGAGATGTTACTGACAGAAATAAGCTTGCTCTCTTCTGATACAACAATAGGAGATTGAGCAGCATTAGACATTGGTGGGATATCATCAGGGAGAATAACTTTGCCATCTTTTGACAATTCAGGATGAGTATCCCTGCCCTTTGGTGAAGAAGGAACATCATTGGCGGAAATAAGCTTGCTCTCCTCTGATAAATGAACAGGTCTTTTAGCATCTGATGAGAGATGAACCTGATCAAGGAAAATAAGCTTGCTCTCTTCAGTTGCATCAACAAGAGATTCCCTTGAATTTGATGGTGGAGGGACATTATGATAATTAAGCCCAGTCTCCTCTGATTCGTTAACAGGAGTTTCAGCATTGGATGGTGGAGATACCTCATCAAGGGAAATAAGCTTCATCTCTTCGGTTACCTGAAAAAGAGATTCCCTGAAATTTGATGGTGGAGGGACATTATGGTTGATCAGCTCACTGTCTATTGAGACATCAATAGAAGTTTTTTCTGCATTTGATGAGGAAGGAACATCATTGAGGGAAATCAGCTCAGTAAGTTCAGAAGGATCAGCCTTGAAGCCAATCTGTTCCCTAAGTTCCTCCAAGCTGTGTCTAACTGCGGTAGTAGATGCAACAGATTTGTCATTATCGGGGAGGATGATATCTGATTGTAACTGTGAGAATGGAATTAAAGGCTCAGGTGCAATGGCGGGATCTATTAATTTTTCTAAAACTGATTCATGTGATAGGGTAATAACGTGAGGCTCCGAATGCACACATTTGTGTGCAAGATCATCCTTGGGACCACTAGTTTCATGGATTACAGCATCTGCATCATCGTCATCAGATAAAACTTCAGATTCAGTATCTGAAGTAATCTTCAGCTCTGTGTATCCTACATGAGACAGCGGATCTGGCCCGCTACTCTCCACGTGAGTAGCTCTTATTGGAATTGATCGTTTTTCATTTCTCTTCTTCAAGTAATGCAGGCTATGTTCACCAGCATCTGATACAGGCAAATCAAGTTCAGAAGTCTCTGACCCAATTGATTTAGTCTGTATAAGTTTCTGGGCATACCCTCTTGGGATCCATGGTTCATTGCAGCAAGAACAATGCTTAACACTTGATTGATTATTGTTGTGATGACCCTGAGGCAATGGTTCCTCATCAAATCCAAAGCTATAATCCTCCCCTAACTTACCAACCAATAACCTGTATGTTTCAGTGTTGGACTTGTTGACTGTGGCAAATGAGAACAAACAATTTTCACACATTCCATGGACATCAACAAGCTTATTGTGCACATGGCAGAAACCTAAGGATGAGATTTCCAACTTATGACTGCCGCAGAACAAATCCCAATAACATTTTAATTTTTTTTTGCCCAAAACATGATCAAGTCTTGAGCAAAGCAGACAGGGGGTTTGCAATTCACAATAACAGGCAAATCTAGTAATTAAATATGAAAATATAGCATCGATGAACAAGAAAAATATCAGCAACCATTCAAGAATAGCCGATGCCAATGCTCTGCGAAAACCCTGGGAAGTTCTCTGTTGTTTAACAGCTGAATTTCCCCTGGCAGCCATGCCCTAGCAAAATCAAGTGGCTTTAGAAAGGGATTAATTCCTTGAAAGCTGAAATGCACGAAACTCCAATCCTCCTAAAAGGAAATTAAAAAATCCCAGACAAGAACAACACTGTAACCATCATTGGACAAATAAAACAAATCAGATCCAATAGAAGAAACAACGGCAAAACAATAGCAGTTCACACTTTCCCCACATCATAAAGCTAAAACTAAACAAGATGAAAACAGAACACTTCAACGTGAATGGCTATTACAACGCATCAACAAAAGAAGCTATAGCATTAACAATCATACATAGAATTTAACAAAATATAATTCTTTACCTAATGAATATGATTGTTTACCTAATGAATATGATTGGTACCAATAAAAGATTTTAAGCCAAAAAACAAAACACTATATTTGGAAATTGACCCATTTCCCATGCAGGCTCTCGAAATCAATGAAAACTCTAAAATATGCCTTGAATAAGAAGCTAATAAACCATAACTGATATTATATCCACACACAGATAAACAGTCAGATGAATCCATCTCTTTTCAAGATTACTAATTATAAAAAAATACTCATTTCCTCAGGAAAGTCCTACTCGCCAGAAAACCGACATGCACCAGAAATCTGAACCTCACAAACCAAAATTTATATTGAAGATAAACTAGATTTTCTTACAGGTCACGCTAATAGGATAACAAGCAAATGAAAGAAAAACATTTCTGGGAAGATCAGTCTCACAAGAACACTAACATATGGTTAAAACAAGAAGTTACCAAAGCCAAGCTCATTAGAGGAGATCAAAACAACTCCAAACTTGAGAAGATGACAAACCAGAAGCTACCAAGCCATATTGTTAACAAAGAAACACAAAAACTCAGCAAACTTAAACCTTAAACCCACCCCTTGCAAAAGACCAATACTCATGAACAGGCCAACGTAAGCCAAAAGCAAAAGATGACAAAACTACAAAGATCAATCAATAGCCATCATAATATAGCCATAAACAGAAACCATAAGGACCACCAAAAAAAAAAAAGAGTAAAACTTTCATAGCTTAAAAAAGTTTATCAACCCAATTCTCATTAAAATCCAACACTTCACAGCAATCAATGCAACGATCATATTCATCCAAAACTTAGAACTTGATAGCCAACATCACAATCACAAACTCAATTCTAATATATAATCAACACCGATGACAATCCAATCCACCTCATCATTCAACGAAAAAGGTCAACAAAAAAATCTCAAACAACAAAACTGTAAAAAAAAAAAGAAAAAAAAAAGTTACCTGGTCATGTGAGGCGAAAGAACAAGGAGATTCAGAAGGAAAGCATAAAATCAAAGAGACCCAGATTGAAATTGACGACAAAGAACAGAACCCATGTAGTAGTTGCTAAAGATACAAAGATTGAAACGAAGAAAAACAAATGTTTTTGTATATATACAAACAAGAGTGCACGTAGTTTTCACTTTATATAAAATAAATAAATCAAAAGAAATACATACATAGCCGACAAAAGCCAAAAAGTCGGCTGCCGATGAGAGAAAACGACATGTACCGAAAGTTTAACATCAAAAATAAAAGTGCTTCCGTTCATTCCAATTCAATTGAACTGTCAAAATAGTTTTTTTTTTTTTTTTTTTTTCAAGTACTCAGTATATGAAAAAAATTATGAGAAAATTATGGTGATTAATTTCCATTTACTTAATTAAAATTCCAAGTGAATTCCAGTACTTCAAAAACCGTATTGAAAATTTATAAAATCATGAGAAAATTAAAAAGTAAAATTAGTTGTATAAATTTTAGTCGAGATTAATCCTAATTTTGGACTAATAGTAATTACCCATTTGAAAAAGATGGTTAATTAAGCAATTATGACATGCGGGTGATGAAATAAAGTGACCGACTAACGAAAATGGAGGTTGGCGGGGGCGCCGACCAATGAAATCTGTGAGGTAGTTGAGAAGGCAGCATGGGAAATGAGTAAGAATGATTTGACAGTTAAACCACCTGAAATATTTGTATTTTACCAAAATGACCTTGTTCTTGTTGGTTCCAAAACCGTGTTGACTTGGTTATTCAGGTCTTTGGCATGTTGGGCGAGAGTGATATTTTTGAAAATGGTATAGGTGTCATTTTAGTCATGCCGGCAACGTTTCCATTTAGGAGGAACAATTTCAAATAATTTTAAAAAAATTAAGACAATATATATTAAAATAATAATGTTAATTTATAGGATTTTATTTAATAAATCCATTAATAATACATAATTTTTTCTTTTAAATTCCAAAAATCTCTGTATATACTTAGCGAGCCCGAGTTTGAAACTGGAATTGTTGTTAAATATTGCTATTTTTTGAAAACAAGAAACAATGAACTTTGGTTATGTTTGAGTTCTAAACTTGAACTTTTATTGAACCTTATAATCTTTGAAATAATAAGGAGAATTATTAATAAAGAAAGATGAAATTAATAGTTTGATTATGTTATCACACTAGAGAAATGATATATTTAATTACAGAAAAAGTGTGGTCGGCTTGAATATTTGAAGTTTGTTTTAGTGGCTATAGTCTATATTTAATTAGAATTCGAGAATTGTTTGTGACTAAAAAAAGATGTAATGAAGTTTTAAAACATTGAATTTTTGGAGATTTTTAGTACTTTTGAAAAGTTCTATATAAGATGAACAAAAAAAATGGTTACTAAATATTAAAAAAAAAAAAAAACATATACCAACTATTGTAGTTTTTCAGGCCATTATTCTTTACTCATTTCTTAAAATAGGGTTCGGAGAATTACGTTCGTCACGTATTGTTTTTACCTAACCCCACTCAACGAGGTAGATGGAGGATATTATACTTTACATGATATTTATCTTTTATAAGTTTTGCTGAGTATTTGTTAATGGTTTCAAAGTAAGTTTAACATGAAAATATGAATAATTTTTTTTTAAATTTTAGATGTAATCAAAATAAAAATTACACTAATAATAGGGTATATATAAGAACTAATTTTGTATTAAATAATAAATAAATATAAGAAAAGAAAAGAAGAAAAATTGTTGTGATGTCACAACACACTTGAATAATGGTGAATTGGTTTATATAAAATTAGGTATGATACAAACAAACACAAGATGAATCAACCTTACTTTTATGGGTAAACTTTTTTTTAAATAACCGAGAGTATTCGGGTCAACTCACGTATACTTCAACTAATTTCTTGGGATTTTGAAACTATCGATCAGGTAAGAGTCCTAGTAGACACCTCCTATTAGTGTTTGGGGGACTTGAACTTAAGAGTTTATGAAACTTCACTTTATTTTTATGGATAAAGAGTTGATAAAATAAGAATTCTCTCATGAATTGAATTTTCTTAAACTTTTAAAGATCAATAACGCTCGGCAATATGTTACATTATTGGACCAAATAAAACTAGTTTTTTTTTTTTTTTCAAATAAAAGCAAATTTCCATAATTAATTGAAAAATTAATTTGTGAGGTATAAAAAAGATAATTAATTGATGTTATAAGTATAATGTTGAGTGTTGAATTTTGCAAAAAGAGTGATTGATGTTATATGATGATAACGATATTCACACAACCACAAAACTTATTTGGATAATCTCCCAAATTAATTTGAACAATTATTAATTCAAAATTTACCTAATTAATTAATCATTTTCATATTTTAAAACTATTAAGTCTAGATTCAAATCACAAAAAGCTTTATATCGTTTTTCATATTTTTCTCTCCTTTTTTAATTATTTAAAAAAAAAAAAAATCCATCTCTTTATTTTAGGTAAAGACTTATTACTGGAGTTGGAAAAATAGGAACAAACCCATATATTTTATTAATTAACTTAAAGAAAAAATAATAGGGCCAAAACAGTAAATGTGAAAAACCTAGCAAATTATGACATATATACCCTTGTGTTTATCGCAAACAACAATAAGCTTTGGATTTCCCTTCTCATCCCTCACCACTCTCCCTCTTCTGCCCCTGTAATTCCCTTTCCCAATCCCACCCTTGCCACCACTCTTCACTGCCCTTCTCTTCTCTTGGTATTTACCAGATCAATTTACCCGCCAATTTTCCTTCTTTCCATTTTTTCAAATTTCCCCCAATTCCCACAAACCCTAATTCTTTACTCCGTCCCAACTCCCACTCGTTCCTTGCCGTGTCGTGTGGTGTCGCGTTCTTGCTTCTTCCTTCGTCTTTAGTGATACCCACTTCCTGTTTTTCGCTTGTTCAGTTTATTTTAAGTGGGTGCGGTTTCTGGGCCTAGTTACGTTTCCATGTGCGTTGTGAAGTTCAGGTAATTTTTTGATTTTATGTTCACTGTTGAGACTTTTCTTTGTGGGTTTTTGTTATTTTGTCATGTTTCTATTTTTTGGTGGGGTTTATTGGGTTTTATGGCTGTTTTGATTAATAAAAATGAATTGGGTTCTGTTGAGATTTGTTTATTTTGCTTTAATTTTTTTTTTTTTTTTTGAAGGATTGTTGTTAATTATGTGATTGTGTTTACTGCTCTTGATTTTTGGCTTTAGATTGATGTTTATTGCATTATGTTCTCTATATTTTGGTTATTGTGGCTATAGTTGCAGAAATAAATATATTTTATGGACAATTTGGAGACATATTAGGTTATTGATGTTCATCAGGCTTTGCAAGGTTTGAGAATTAAAAGATTAGCATCTTAGGTGGACTGTTTGATTTGGTATCTTTTTTCTGTTTAAAACTGCTGAGTTGCTACAAGTCTTACTGAAATCATATAACAAAGTCTGAAATTTCATGGTTTATTATTTGATAAGGAGCTTGCAAATTCAATGTAAAACAGTGTTAGGAGGTTTGAAATTTGGTTTGCCCAGTTTCTTATGTCAATGTCATGTATGGAAAATTTTGTTATGTTTGCATTTCTTTTCCTTTTGTTTTGGGACATGTTTGGGGTCATTATGTGGGACGAGACTTGTTTTTCCTTTTGAGTATTTGTGCTGGATTTGAAATAAATGGAATGACTTTTGATTTAACAGTCACATTTATTTAACAACTTTCAGGCATATTTTGACACAAATCGAAAGAGCAGTGTCTTTGACCATCTGAATACAAACTCGTAGTTCCTTTTGACAGCTGATTTTGTGCTGGTGACATATCGTGATTGATTTCTTCAATGGCGAACCACGATTTGATTCTTGGGCAACGGCACAATTTAGGTATGGGGCAGAACCAACAGTTGGTACTAGGTCATAATCATAATTTGGGTCTGGGCCAGAACCATGAGATGGAAATGGGACAAACCCATGAGCATCATTTGGGTTTAGGACAGCAAAACCATGAATTGGGTTTAGGACATCCTAATGATCATGACTTGGGTTTAGGACAGAACCAAGACCAACAAGAGGAAGATGGTCAGGACTACGGAAATGAGAATGAGTTAGCTATGGAACGGAAACCTGATCATGGTGACCATGAATTGGCTCTCACCGAACAAGGTCATGAGTTAGCTTTAGCTGAGCATAATGAATTGGCTGTTTCAGAAAGTCAAGATCTTGATGAGAATCTAGAATTAGCAGTGGACCAGCACCATGAAATGGCAATAGAACCTGTCGACGATTTGAGTCTCCACCATTCCCATCTTATGGTTAGCACTCCTGTCATACAGGCTCGCACTCTTGCTCAAAATCCCACTTACGAGCTGGTGGTCGGGCAAGAGTTCCCAGATGTTAAGAGCTGCCGCAGGGCATTGAGGGACACAGCTATTGCCCTTCACTTTGAAATGCAAACCATAAAGTCTGACAAGACTCGTTTTACTGCCAAATGTGCAACTGAGGGATGCCCATGGCGCATACATGCTGCAAAGCTCCCAGGTGTTCCGACCTTCACAATCCGGACCATTCATGAGAGCCATACATGTGGAGGAATTTCTCACCTTGGCCATCAGCAAGCCTCAGTTCAGTGGGTTGCAAATTCTGTGGAGCAACGGCTCAGGGAAAATCCTAATTATAAGCCAAAGGAGATATTGGAGGAGATTCATCGGGTTCATGGTATTACCTTATCATACAAGCAAGCCTGGCGAGGCAAGGAGCGGATTATGGCTGCCATGCGTGGGTCTTTTGAAGAAGGGTATCGCTTGCTTCCTCAATACTGTGAACAGGTTAAACGAACAAATCCGGGGAGTATTGCTTCTGTTTATGGAAATCCAGCTGATAACTGCTTTCAGCGTCTCTTTATATCATTCCAGGCATCAATTTATGGTTTTCTGAATGCCTGTCGACCCCTCCTTGGACTTGATCGGACATTTTTGAAAAGCAAATACTTGGGTACTTTGCTTCTTGCTACTGGTTTTGATGGAGATGGCGCTCTGTTTCCTTTGGCATTTGGTGTTGTTGATGAGGAGAATGATGATAATTGGATGTGGTTTCTGTCTGAACTTCATAATCTGCTTGAAATTAATACAGAAAACATGCCAAGGCTTACTATTTTGTCAGACAGGCAGAAGGGCATTGTAGATGGAGTGGAAGCAAACTTTCCAACTGCTTTTCATGGGTTTTGCATGCGTCACTTGAGTGAAAGCTTTCGCAAGGAGTTCAATAACACAATGCTTGTCAACCTTTTGTGGGAAGCTGCTCATGCTTTGACTGTGATTGAATTTGAAGCAAAAATTTTGGAGATTGAGGAGATATCTCAGGATGCTGCTTACTGGATTCGGCGAATTCCCCCTCGTTTGTGGGCCACAGCTTATTTTGAAGGGACACGGTTTGGTCATTTGACAGCTAACATAGTTGAATCATTAAATACTTGGATTTTAGAAGCCTCTGGGCTTCCTATCATTCAGATGATGGAGTGCATTAGGAGGCAGCTCATGACTTGGTTCAATGAACGCCGGGAGACCAGCATGCAGTGGACATCAATTCTTGTGCCTTCTGCTGAGAGACGTGTTGCAGAAGCCCTAGAACGTGCACGCACTTATCAGGTGCTTCGTGCTAATGAAGCTGAGTTTGAAGTTATATCTCATGAAGGGACAAACATTGTGGACATTCGAAACCGCTGCTGCCTTTGTCGGGGATGGCAGCTGTATGGTTTACCCTGTGCTCATGCTGTGGCTGCTCTCCTCTCTTGTAGACAGAATGTCCATCGGTTTACTGAGAGTTGTTTCACTGTGGCAACCTATAGAAAGACATATTCGCAGACTATTCATCCAATTCCAGATAAAAGTCTATGGAAAGAGTTGTCAGAGGGAGATCCAAATGCACACAGAGCAGTTGAGGTTATTATCAACCCACCAAAATCACTTAGGCCTCCTGGTCGACCACGGAAGAAGCGAGTTCGGGCAGAAGATAGGGGACGTGTTAAGCGAGTAGTGCATTGTAGTCGTTGCAATCAGACAGGCCATTTTAGAACAACATGTGCAGCACCAATCTAGTTTACTGTTGAACGTGTGTTCACTACTGTGAAAAAGGATTCTTCTTTTATTATTGTTCATGTAGTTCTTGGTAGTTATTAGGATTCAAGTAAATGCTTAACTTAATTTTATGTGACTTGACAGTATTGTGGATTTAGCTCATTATCAGTCATCTTATGAGTGTTCGCTTCAATAATGCATTCATGGTAGTAGTATTCAATGGGCTAGATTTTAATTTTTGATATTATGTAAATCTTTAGTATTCTTGGCTGCTAGAGATGTAAATTGTTAGCTTATTCTCAGCTCTTCATCTAAATGCTGCTGTATGAGAAACCTGCTTGTAGGAAGCCAGGAAAATGTATGAATGAACTGAAACGAGAAGTTGTACACTGTAAAGCACATCTTGGTGATTTTTCAACAATAGAAATTACACATCAAATAGAGACGTGCAATCGCATCACATATGCGATTAGAATTTTACCTCAAAAATTTAACACATTCAAATCATCAGTTTATTAAGGTTGCCAATTATGGAACATGCATTGTATTGCAGAACCATGGCTTCCTGTCCCGGTATGCCAATTCTTTTCCAAATTATTATAAGGGAGAACAACATTTCATTTTCCCACCTAAGGTTTGGCGAAACGACACTTTCCCACCCTTCAAGTTTCAAAATAACACTTTCCCATCTTAAGTTTCAAAATGACACTTTCCCACCCTTCGTTAGTAGGGGTGTTCGGTTCCGAGTATCTTGCATTTTTTGAAAGAACCGGAACCGACGGTTCCTTGAAATTTGGAATTGGAACCAGAACCAATGGTTCCAATTCCTAGGTACCCAGAATCGGAACTTGTAACAACGGTTCCGGTTTCGATTCTGGATACCCTGTAAAATTACAAGGACCCCCCAAAAGTTTTTAAAATAGAAAAAACCCTTAAAAACTTACAAATAGCCCCCACCTGACACTTGTTAACAAAAATAAAATTACAAATTACAAATTACAAACTCCATTACGTTGTGAAGATAGATTCTCGAAAGTCAAACCAACTTACTTTAAATATTATAAAATATAAATATAAATGTATTCACATTATTTTTTCTCCAAAAGTTTTTATTAACCCCTTGCTCTTTAATTTTATATTATATTAGTCTCGGTTCCCGATTCTAGTTTCAAGAATTTGGAACCAGAACCTACCCGTTGACAGTCGGTTCCGGGTAGGAACCGAAACCAAATCCTAGATACCCGTCGATTTTGATTCTAATTTATTCTTTTGAACACCCCTATTCCCTAGGTTCTGTAATGTCTTCCGTTAATATTTTACTGAAAAGATGAAAATACGCTTAAATATTTGATTTTATTATTTTTAATTACCCAAAAAGTCAAATATTAAAAAAGAAAAAAAGAAAAAATAGTTAACCCCACCTAAAAAATTAGGAGTAATGCTATGGAATTGTTTAAAGTTAAATGATTTTAATATTTATTTATTTATTTATGATGTCATCAATATCCCATCATTATTATTCAATAACCTACTAAATTTATAATGTTTTTTATAATATAATGATTTTCATTTTTACTAATTAATATATAAATTCAATATTCATAATTAATTAAATAAACAACGGAAAAAAGATATCTTTACACTTAAGCTAATAAATAATCGAGTAAAGATTTTGACTTAATTAAATTTTAATTTATAATAAACTATTTAAGGGTATTTTCGTCTTTTCAATCAAATATTAACAGAAAATACTAACAGAATCTAATGAATGGTGAGAAAGTGTTATTTTGAAACTTGACGGATGGGACAGTGTTGTTTCGTCAAACCTTGGGTGGAAAAATGTCGTTCTCCCTTATTATAATTTGCGAAAGAGAGCACACTGTCAAATTCTATGAAAGGAAGCATAAGAAATATAAGAAAGTTGATTGAAAAGAAGGGAAAAAGAGGGTGGCATGTGATGAATTGTATGCAGGATAGATGGAAGCCAATATCTTGTGAGAGGGCTGGCAAGATTGTATTTGTATTTGGTTAGCAAAGTAACTTTTTATATTCTGCTCTGCTAAGTTACTGAACATTTCTTTACACAAAGGAAAACAAGAAACTGTAAGACAGAGATTCAAGATTCCTCATTTATATTTAGACAGCCCCAACATACTTGGTGGTAGGGTGCTAAAGTACCCTATCATTAAAGATTGTCACAGTAATTAAAGTCACCATAAGGGAGAAGAACTCGAGGTCTTTTGGACTCTTATCACTCAAGTCACACATTTAAAAAAGGTGAGCAAAAATTAACAAAAGCCACTGTTGCGTCCAATTTCACTGGGTGATGTTAGGTCACAACCTTCTCTTATAATTTTCGGTGTGACAGCTCACAAAATAGGTCAAGGATGCCACACAAAGTCAATACCTGTCTATTTGAGAGCTAACCAATGATAAACTGTTATGTCAAAAATTGTGAGAGAAAGTTGTGAACCTAGCATTACTCAATGAAATTCACTAAGCATTTGGAAACCAAAGGGAACTGATGTAAGAAATACCGTTAAGATGACAACTTATCTTAGACCACAAGCCTCATATAAGGATTTTTAAAATTTCCAGCATAGAAATCGAATAACTTAATTCTCCATGTAATCATGTAATCAACATATATGCAAGGATTTTAAATTAAGTTTGTTTCAGCTTTCATCTGGGACTGATATATATGGAAATTGCTCACATCCTCACATCTAACATCACTAGTGTCTGTGGCTCTGGACTAAAAGCTGACCAGTTTTAGGGTATTTCAATTAGAAATAGTAGATGTATTTTTGAGAAACTATAGATTTGTCAGTTCAGGGTTTTCTGCAATTTGTTGCCTCACAATTTCTAAGGGGCAATATGTGGCTGCAACATTAAGTGTTGTACCCTTGTCCAAGTTCACCTTTCTTGTTAGCTTATCATCTGCTTCAATTCCTCCACTTCATTTCTTTAGAGCATTTATTTGAACTTCCTCCATTTTTAAACAACCTATTCTTGCTGCAATACATAATGGAGTTTTCATCCGTTCGAGTTCTTTTCATTCACGAGCGATGGCTACAAATTATTCATTATTTCTACCACTTTATTCTGTTTGTACTTTGATGTCATCCTTAAGAATTTCATCAAATAATAGCGTTAAAAATGCAAAATTAATATGACACGCTTTTAGTGGTCCCCTAAAGCTGCCGCTCTGTACAGTTCATGGAGTCAAGGAGATAGGTTAGTATTAACCGAAAATGCCAAGTACTCATGAAGATCCATCTTTGTTAGGTTCTTTCTAGAGCGCTTAAAAAACAGCTAGCATAATCTAACAATAGTAAGTTTTTGGTTCAAATTAGTTTAAGCTCAATGCCATCATTCCGGACCAGGCACATTCATACAAAATTTTCCTTTGATATGATAATGAACATGAACATGCTTGATTAGTAAAAAGAAGACCAATTGTTTGCATGATCAGCAGAGAAGAGTTAGACATTGCAGAACTCTTGTTTATTAAACTAAGATTTTTCAGCAGTTTAATGCGTTACTTCTAAAAACCAAAATCCTTCAACCAAGGGCTGAGGATTTTTCTCGTCGCCCTCACCCATAATGACTGCATACTAAACGCCACACCTCTCTTACAGTACGTCCCAAAGTGCTCACAATTTCTATCCAAAAGGTCGTACCCACCGAAAATATTGTTTCCATAAAGTTCTCCATAAGCCAAATCGACAACATCCTGCGGTGACTTTACAGAAGACATTTGCTCCTCTACATACCTACTCACAGTGCTGCATTTTTAGTCATACACATAAAGTGAGTGGCCATCCAGGAAGCAATCCACACAGGTTATTACTATCCCACCCTCGATACTATTTTGACAACATTGACGAGAAAAGGGACATGCAGATTTCCATCCAGATGATGAGGAGCTTTTCATTGCAGACGATGAGCTGCTGAATTTCCCGGTTCCTTTTCTAGGTCCCTTCAGGTGAATGACCATGCCGTGCCCAACATATATTCCTATCAAATGTAAGAAGATTAACTAAACAATTCGTCATCTCACTTTATTAACAATAAGATAATTAGCCAATTAGAAGTGCAAAAAATGAAGCTAACCATGATGATAGAAGAAACCATTCAACCTATCACTACAAATGTGATCACCCTTTTTCAGCAAGTCCTTGCTGGTTTCCTTGCATGGTTGTTCTCCCATATCTTTATCTTCTTTCAACTATACTTCTGCTTTCAGATTGTCTACTGTTTAATACGGATATTACCAATTTATATGTATAGACAGATGGTTTTGATAGAAAACTGGGCAGTAAATCAAGTGACTATTGGTTTCTACACAGGAAGACTAAACGGACACATACAATATTTATTGAGTCAGAAATTCCAGAGATTAATTTGTATGCATCTTGAGATCGTACATGAATCTGAAAGGTGTACGAATATCAAAAAGTAGAATGAGTAATTTATAGAATCAATACATATTTGTTAACATTATTTCTTTATCCCTCAAGAGATTTAAACAGTTTAGCTATCACTATGATAATCTCTATGCAAGACGGTCCTCATCAATAGATAATATTATCTACTAAAGTTTTTAATTCCAAATTATTTATGATGATATTTTAGTAGTACATACTCAAGACAAGTTATATAAAACTCGTCAGATAACTCTATAATTATTTTATGAAAGAATTTTAAACATCCTTCCATTGCGTTAGAACTCGAATTTGACTGCATACACATATTTTAATGCAGGAGAAATCTGAAAACTTTGACTAAAAGTAGAAACTGTATCCGTCCAAGATCGTTCCAACTCTTTATCCTCAGGGCGACTTGAAGGATCGAGGTCACAGGTCCGGTTCCGGGCGTCGGAAAAAGACGCACTGTCCTGACAAACTATTCCCTTTGAGAACATAAACGAAGGCCTGTTTTACAATAGGATGCAAAATCCTCGCAATTGTTAAATGCAAAGTTGTACTCGCCAAAATCTTTTCCTTGGAGAAACTCCATGGCAGTACTGATAACTTCATCAGGTGATTTGCAAGGCATACAATATTCAAAGATATGTAGGTTGTTGCTATCGAGGAAACAGTCAAGACAAGTTTTGACAATTCCACTATCTCTGTCTCGATTGTAGCCACATTTTGGGCCCAAAGAAGATGAACTTTTTTTAATTCCAGCTACCATAAGATGAATCACCATGTCATCGCCCACATATATGCCTATAATAGCAAAAGAAGAATACATTAATCGTAAGAACTAGAACAAAGTTATAATTAAATATAATAGTGAGTGAAAATTACTTACCGTGATGATAGTAGAGAATCCCAGCCCTATTACTAAAAATATGATCTCCCGGATTGAGCATAGACGGAGTGCTTTTTTTTTGTCCCATTTAATTTCTCTCGCTTAATCTAAGCTGATTGGGAATACAAAAATGTCTCAACCAAGGATACAAATAGAGATTTGGATGAGTAGTTTAGCAGCACAAGATCCTTGGGTTTGAAAATTGATCGAATGAAAGCTAAAAGCTTACATATTCCAATATGGGTCCCCCTGATAAACCTGGATAGTCAAGGAATTTATTGCTTTTATATGAATGGTTACAGATAAACATTCAAGGAATTGCTTTATGCAAATGATCCTCATGTAATTGCAATATATGTATTCCATATGTTGAGAAATTCTTCAAAATGTGCTACATGCTAGTGCTTGCATCAGGTGCTTAATTTCATTAAAAATATTCTAGACGTTATTGGCAGTGTAATTAACATAACTTTGTAATTTTGTAATAACACAAACATTAACCTGTAATTTTGCAAAAAAAAAAAATTCAAATAATACATAAGAGATAGGCCTATGCAAATTAGAATTCGAACTATATATAGATATGTTCAAAGATCACAAACATTTAGTCCTACTGTCAGAATTAAACTTTTACATATAATTCTAATAGTGCGTTTGGTTCGGGAATATTGTATTACTGGGAATATTACATAAATGGAAAGATAGATTACTTTAAGGGTGCGTTTGGTTCAGAGAATGTTGTATTATTGAGAATGTTATATTAATGGAAAGATAGATTACCTTGAAGATTACCAAGAATGTTTGGAGAAATGTGTTTGGTTTGTTAGAATAAATTAGTGGGTATGTTATATTAATATGTTTGGTTTGGAGAAATTAAATTGATGGTTATGTTATGTAGATTACTAAATTACCCTTCTTCTTTAATATTATTATTAATTATATTATTTTGTTGCAAATTGGAACTCGGTTTTGCATTTTCCCCTTTTCTAATTCATCGGTATAACATTCTTGCTCCTCACAGTCATCATATTTTTCAGTAAAACCATCTTCAAGAGTTTCTTCAAGATTTAAGAAACGATGAAGCTTATGGTTTCCTCTATGTTGTTGGGTTAAGAAATTGATTTTCACTCATAAGAGAATCATGTTTAGGCAAAAACACAGTTCATCTCATTTCCAAAAGACAAAAAGTAAGAAACTTTTCAAAGACAAAAACACTGAAACATGAAATACTTTTTCCTTTTCAACTAAACACAAATACACAAGTGGGGTTACACTCAATCAAAATTTGAAAAACAGAACCCAGCAAGAAATGACACATTTTGATTACTACAATTACATCATCCACACATTATTTAACAAAAATAAAGAAAAGAAACTGACATTGAGCTTCTACTGAGTGTATAATCAAATATTTACTGAAACACTCAACACCCTCTTGCTGAAATTTGATTTTAGGGCTCATCAACTCTCCGCTCAATTTTGATTTTAGGGCTCACTAACATAGTTAGAGATCCGAAGCTGAAAACTAGATGAGTACCTCGAAGAAGATATCAATGAACTTCTATGAAATGGTTTCACAGGATTTAGCCAATTGTCTTGATCGTGGGATATCATTGAGCAATAGGAATCTGTGTTATCAAAAGATTTCCTGCGATTATTTCTAGTATGGAATGAGTCAATCATCCACTTTGGTATCTTATTGAACAAAAATGGTGATATTCTTCCTCTATTGATTCGGCGGGAGGAGACGCAGAAATTTAAGGAACAATGACGATTTCCTTGGAAATGAAGTCTACTCACGGAATCCACAGAAGACGCACTCCACCTGGTCTGAAGATGAAAGGAAGCTCAAGTTTAAAGGGAAATCCAGTTGGGTTTGTGTTCAACTGCGAAAAAGTGGGAATGAGAAGCAAAGTTCGAGTTCATGGAAGCAAGATAAAAAGGTAATTAATTTGGTAGATGAAGAATAAATGAGTTAGGTTTGGGGGATTTGATGTAGTAATAAATTTAGGAATTTAATTTTGTTGAAATTGAAGGGTATAAATGGGTTTAATTTTTTTGTATAAAGTTAAAAATGTCCATAAATTTTTTGTAAATTATTTAGATAACAAGAGCATTATTGTCCAAATAGTTTATTGATAAGTGATAAAATTATAACAAAATTAAAGTTACCAAGTAATCTTACAATACCTAAAAAAACTGAGGTAATCAAATTACCTTATATATTACCAACAGTAATTATTATTAATATTGGAAGCTTAATGGAATCTTATATTACTTGACAATCAAACGTGGTAATCAAGTAATATAAGATGATATTATCTCAGTAATCCTATATAACCTCCAACCAAACGCACCCTAAAGATACTGAAAATATATATATATAAAAAAAAAAAACAGTATTCCATATATTCATACATAGATAGATAAATAGAATAATTTATGATTGGAAATTCAGTTGGAAAGATGGAACAAAAACTGTTAGTTTGTCAAGGAATCGTTTTATATGAATGGCTAGACTAAAAGTATTAAGGAATTACTTTATATTAATGGCATGGCCTTAGCTATACAAGAGAATACCCTAAATAGTTGAGCAATCACTTCAATGATTCATATATGTTATTTGTTTTAATAGGAAAATCTCTCCTTTTGTCAATCTAATTAATGATTTTCTTTTATGATTTGCTTCTCAATGATTTTTTCTGTTATGAATTAAGCCAAAGATTTTAACCAACCCTCAGATCATATCATAATTAGTATCAAGTCAAGTGTATTAACATCCAACATATATAAAAAAAAAAAAAAAAAAAAAAACATTTACATTATTCTAATATGCTTGATATTTATTATAAGCTGATAACCCTTGTGCTTGGGACATCAAGATATGAAGATAATTTACTCAAACCTCATTTAAACGAGATTAGCTTGTTTTGTGAAGTGCTTAACAAAAGAAAAAGTTAGTCATAGTCCTATTACACAAAACTAAATTTATTTAGAGATGGCAATGGGACCAGGTACCTCTTGGCTTGAGCCCAAGCCCGACCCCATGACAAAGGCTTAGTCTTGGCGCAAGCCCGTCACAGAGATGACAGGTAAAGCTCAAGTCCAACCCAATGGGCTTTTTGTAATCTCAGTCCCGACCCAAGCTCACCCATTTTTATAATGTGAATTTTTAAATATTAATAAATTTTAATTTTTTTTTATTTCTAGAAACAGTTTTTAAATATTAATTTATTTTTGAATACTCACCAAATATTAATAAATTTCAATTTTTTTTTAATATATATGTAAGATAATTCTGTAATTAGATATATAGTATAAGGGTAATTTAGTAAAATTGTCGGGCTAGGTCGGGATTGAAGGCATACCCATGCCCAACCTGTACCCGAGGGCAGGCTTTAAAATCAGTCTCAAGCCTAAGCTCAAGCTCGCTAACACTAGATAAAGCCCGGCCTTTTCAAGACAGGTCAAGCCAGGCCGAGTACCCAAAAACACCGAGCCCATTGCCATCTCTAAATTTATTGTCTTTTAATTCTCTAGTTAGTACATCCTTTTATTTAAAAGTTGAGCATGGTTGACAGACGTGACATCTTTACTAGAAAATTTCCTCCATAGAGTGAAACCTTAATCTAAAACCTAAACCCAAAACTTACTTGTACACCGTCATCACGACCTTGTGGACCAACAATCACTCTACCACCAGATAACACCGCAGAGGGCAAGGCAGCTAATATAGTTGCATTCCTTCTTTGCCTAGATGACTTTTCGCCTGTTTTACAAAAAGATGCAAAGTTTTCACAGTTGTTAAAAGCAAAATTGTAGTCATCAAAGGTCCTTATTCCTTGGAAAAACTCGGTGGCAGTCTTCACAACCTCATCAGGTGGTTTGCAGCCAATTGAAGAATCATAAAAAATATATAATGACTGGCCATCGAGAAAGCAATCCAGGCATGTTTTGACGATCCCACCATGTAAGCTTGGTGTGTGCCCACATTTTTGGCATGGGAAAGAAGAGTTACTTTGCTATGAAAGTGGTAGCAAATGAATGACCATGCCGTCCCCCACATATATTCAAGAGAGTTCTCGACGAAAGAGAATACAAATACATATACAGTATGATTATATATGACTTTTATTGAATTGAATAAAATATAAGAATAACAATTTAAAATATATGGACTTACCTACCAAATTGTCAGTAGTACCACAAAATATAATAAGATTACAATAATTCCATCGAAAATTTCGCCAATTTATCTTAAGAATGCAAATTTATGTCGCTGCAAAAAGTTGGTGAAATATGGAGTTGATATATCATTAAAATTGAAGAAAGCTTAGATCATGTACGTTATCAACACTATATATATAACATATACTAGGTTTTTGTTTTGGAAAGTGAATTATATTTATACTTATATATACTTGCAATTAGATGTAAGTTTAAAAGAGTGTGAACACTGAAAAAACTTACCGTGATGATGGTAGACAAACACGATTCTGTTAGTAGTGATCTGATCAACCGGTTGGAGCCCCCGATGTTGGCTTGAACGTTGTCCCATCTTACTAAAAATTTCCTTTAATTTCTAATTTGTGATTAGAGATTATCTGCTTTCTAATTAAACCATTACAAATTTATAGATAAATGGAGAGAAAATGCAAGAACTATTAGAGATTGGAATATAATCTTAAAATGATATGAATCCATTACAAGGGAATTGTTTTATAATAATTGTTAAACTGTTAAGGAAGAAATTTTAATAATGGCTCTTCTGTGAAGTCTTATTGAGATATGTCCATAGATTAATTGAGATTTATTTATTTTCAGACTAAGAGTACAGTTAGATCCATAATCTAATCTCACAACCTTTTCTTAAAACTCCCATCCCAACATAGCAGTTTGCCATTGATCAATTCGTAAAATAGGTCCCACCTGCTTGTATATACGGATTATGCCTACCAATTTGCAAGTTAACCAATGATAAGCTGTCACATCGGGAGTTGTGAGAGAATATTATGGACCTATCATTATTGTTCAAAATAAAATTAAAAAGAAAAATATATTAGAGTATCTCATTCTAATTGTAAAATTATGAAGAAAAAAAAGTGACAAACCTATCTATAATGACCACGGACAAGTCTGTTCGTTCAATCTCACCAAAAATCATGTCATCAAATATTGG